GTTTTTTATTAAGAAAACTACATATTCTTATATTCCTCAAGATGGTTAATTTTCTATGTAATCCTCTAAATATTGTTCTCTGTTGTAGCAGTTGTGAATTCTCAGGCACTGATGGTGGTCTCAGCAGAATCTTTATTACCACCTGGGTAGGCTCAAAGGAATTGCCAAGTTTTCTTGGTTTGCTATTAAAATGTGACTTACTTAAAGGTCTGCTGTACTTAGCTCAAAGTGAAGAAAAGATCAGGCAACTATCTGATTGACTGATACACGTTTAGAATACAAAATTATTCATACTGACCATCTATACAGTTTATATTTATCCTGTATTTTGTTCCCAGTGCTAAATACATGAAGCACTTTTATAAGAAAATTAATTACTGGGTGTTTCAGAGCAAAACAGCTGAATAGAAACCTGAAGGATGGCAACTTTTGACTCTTATGCTTCTCACTTGATGTGTGGCCTTGGGCACATCAAATTAAGGTGAGAACAGGAAAACTTACACAACTGGCTATCAGGATTGACATTTCTTATGCACCCCTGAAATGTCCATATGATGCTGTCACTATAGTATATAACAAATAGACCTATTTTGAATTCAGAATATATAAAGAAAACAATTATAACAAAATAACCCCAAATTGGCCTACAACATGGTTGAAGTTTAGATCAGAATGTTTCCTAACCAAATCACTTCACTCAGAATATAATGCACTTTCTTTCCACTCTTCCTTAGGCTAAGAATTTTTTTATCCCCATAACTCCTGAGATCTACATGTCTTAATAGGGAATTAAGCATGTGACAAAAGTGGATTTTCCAGTTTAACAAAGTGCAGCGACCCACATCTGAGCACTTCAGTTCATAGGATGTGGTGAACTCATTTTAATTTTATTTTCTTTAAGTTGTTCTCTCATTTTGGAGCAGAGAATCCAATGACTCTCTGATATCAAACTTAAGTTGGGATCTGAACATCACAAATAGTTTCCCTTCTGAAACTCCAGGAAATTTTGAATGACCCAAAATTTTATTGAGGCTCAATGTAGCCAACCAAATACTTCTTAAGTAAATTTTATAATCTATAAGATTATATATTCCTCCACTGGATAATAAAGCCCCAGGACAAGACTTTTATTTAGCTTTGTATTAACTATAGTGTCATGCAGATTGCATTGTCATGGCAATTTGCTGTATTAATGGTATCTTCTAGAAATGAGATTGCTACTATTGCATTTCGATCAGTTGGACGTCTATTTGCTTTGCATTCCAGCAAAAATAAGGGGTATTGGTGCTCCACTCATGTTTCTTTCGTAATGATCCACTTATGACCAATAAATTGTATTTGTCAAATAACAGCTATCTCTGTATGATGGTGGTATGGAATCAAACCAGTTCACTGGTGCCTAATGACCTGCACTTCCAGGCTAGGGTCCAACATTACTAAACTTCTGTGTTTTGCTGTTGTTGTGTTGTTGTTATTTGTTTAAAGAATGTAAAATCAGATCTGTCATATTGTGACTTGGTTCAGAGTTCCATTACTGCACATGTTCATAACTTTGGTCACCACCAACTTATTGATAAAATAATAAACAACCCCCTTTAACATAAAAATTATATATATATATATAATGAAAAGAAAGCAAAAAAAATAAAAAGCTTACTTATATTGGTTTTCTCTTCTATATAGTCTCTCCTTCTTCTGGTTTTACTGTGTCATGGGAATGTTATCTATTAATGATAAACTTATTTTATAAAGGCACAAACTAACTTTTAAGGATTTTTGTTTGAAACTCCTCCTGTACTTGCAATCACAGCTATCTAATGACAAATGTCTGATAGTTAAATATTAATGTTTCACATAAATGTAATTTGTAAAACAAGCTAAAGTTAAATGATACATTTTATGTAGCTAAAAAAAAAGTGGGTTGATGATTCACCAATTGAAGCAAGACCAAAAAACAAAACAAAACAAAACAAACAAATAAAAACAATCACTCCTGTTCTCAGAAGTGCCAGCTGGAGAGAGGCAATATTTGGTTAATTGTAGTTTTATATCTTTCCACCATTTATTAAATGAAAAACTTATTTTTTTTTTTCAAATTCTTTTCCCACAAAACTTTGAGAAAGCTTAGGGTTTTTTTGGTCTATAAATATGGCACTTTATATTTCCAAATAGCTTCATAGTAAGTGTTTCATAACATGCTATGTTCAGTTTTTCACATTTTTGAAAGTGACAAAATTGACATAGAGGTTAGATGACTGGTTTTAGTTAATTAGGAATCCTAAAATTTATGTGCTAACTTAGGCATCTTTAAAACAAAAATCCATGTGTACATGTTACAATATGAGATAACTATACATCTGGCCTTTGTGAATCTGATCACATAAAAACCAAACATTTTCATTTCTCTGGCAATCATTTGGCACGTTCAACATAGTTTAATTGTTTGCAACCTTTAGTGATGAAATTCAATCCGTGTTGTTTATCCTTTACTTATTTGGTGAATTTTTATTTGTCTTTTAAAAGTTTTTTTAGACTCCTTTCTTTCTGTAAAGCCTTCCTTGTTCCTCCCTCTACTCCATCAGAGTTAAGTGCATTTTCTCAGCACCCATCTCTGAACCCAGCCAGCTGCCCTGGTATGCTGTGAATAAGCTGAAGGTAGATCCTATATTTCATCCATTGTTGGCCCAGTGCCCAGCACAAACTAAGCACTCAATAAATGTAGTGTGTGTTGAACTAACTAGATAGCTAACAGACTAGAGAAATTAAGATTCAGATGATAAAGAGGGATGATGAATAATTTGATAACTTCCAACAACATGCTCATTGTTGTACGTGAGCATGCATCAGAGTGTGGCAATATCATATAAAGTGGTTAAGAAAGACATGGAGGCACCTGGGGTAATACATTTCATCAGGAGTACTGTGAGCAACTAGCTTGACTGTTGTGATACTGAGCATGATATGAACATTCTTCCTCTTAGATTAAAGCAGATAGGGTTTAACACAAACAAAACTTGTTAAAATATGAAGTTTTTCTTCAAAAATTTTAAGTGCCCTAGCACTCTGGGAGGCTGAGGCGGGCGGATTGCTCAAGGTCAGGAGTTCAACACCAGCCCGAGCAAGAGCGAGACCCTGTCTCTACTATAAATAGAAAGAAATTAATTGGCCAACTAATATATATAGAAAAAATGAGCCAGGCATGGTGACGCATGCCTATAGTCCTAACTACTCGGGAGGCTGAGGCAGGAGGATTGCTTGAGCCCAGGAGTTTGAGGTTGCTGTGAGCTAGGCTGATGCATGGCACTCACTTCTAGCCTGGGGCAACAAAGTGAGACTCTGTCTCAAAAAAAAAAAAAAAAAATTAAACGCTTAAAAATGTTCTCCAAAGTTTTATGATGCATTTTGAGTGTGAATAAATTTACTCAAAACATCCTTTCAATGGCCAGTGGGTTTCCATATTTCTTTTCCCTTTAACCAGATGCCATTTCCATTTGTGCTGCACCAGTGAAAAAGTAATTTGGAGGCCTTCTCATTCATCATCCTGAAGCTTGAAATTTCATTCATTTGTGCTGCGGGACCCTCACCTGAGCTGCACACACCTCCTCTGGTTCCAGCCTTGCTATTTGTCTGCAACAGGGCTGGAGTATTCCGCCCTCCACCCCCAGCACTGTTTAACCAGGTCTGACAGCCCTGTGCAATTATATGGGCAGTGGCATTCTGCTCAGAAATCACTTCTATTTTACCAACCAAGCACACGTAGAGATGGGACAAAAGGTAATGAAAGAAGAGTCCCACCCAGAACCACAGGCACAAGTCATGACAGAGCCCTGTGAGAGGGCCCGTGGCAGGAAGCATAGCTTCTAGGTCCCCACCTCCACACTCAGCTCAGCCTTAAGGATGTGAAGGAAAATCACACTCCAGGAAAGTTGGACATTCTTTTTTCTATTTGAATTCCCAGCCCAAATTGTTAATCCAAAAAAAGCACACTGCCTTTCAAGGCCTTCCAATTTTTGCTACTGCTAAGGAACCCATGGGTGTCCTTCCACCTGCAACAGGCATAGGAGAAGAGGAGGGCAGGGGCCAGGTGGCCAAGAACAGTTCCAGTTTCAGAAAGCAGGTCCACCCCATGTGCCCCTTCTCACCAGATGTGCAGGCAGCTGAGGGTGGCAAAGAGAATTCCCGCAACGAAGGCCAGGGGGATGGCCAGGAACACGGTCAGGAACTTGTACATCACGTACTTGCTGATTTCAAAGAGGGCATGGCTACAGATCCACACTTTGTCACAGGAGTGCGTAGTCATGGGCTCTGCGATCACATCCTCGAAGCCCACCTGCAGAGACAGGACGCAGGGACCCCAAACTGTGACCCAACCTGCCGCCCCGGGAACCGGGAGCTCTGGGGGCTGGGGAAACGAGAAGGAAGGGCGTGGCGAGGGTGCCCCACCGGAATTTGGCTAAGAATTTCTGGGTACGCAGGTGGCCCTGGCATCAGGTGGGCCAGGGGGAGGGTGCGGGTCTCAGACCCTGCGGGGCAGAGCAGCGGCGAGGGAGGGGAGGGGAGGGGTGGGGGAGGGGCTTGGGCCTGCGGCTGTGGTTACCGCCCGCCCCGGGCTTCACCTTGAGGTGCGAGTTGAGCCGGTGGGGATCCCGGTCATGGTCCGAGTCGGCGAACTTCTCGGGGTCGGCGAAGTCGACGTCGCCGTGGTGGCTGTAGGAGTCGTCGTCCAGGAAGAGCTGCACGTCCGCCTTCTCGGTCTCCAGCCCCATCGCGGCGCTCGCTGCGTGGCCGCTGCAGCCCGGCTGGCGCGGTGCGGCTCCCGGCCGGCGCGGCCTCCCCTTCCCGTCGCGCCCGGCCCGCCCCGCCTCGCCTGTCCCCCACTGCCCGGGCGGCGGCGTTCCCGCCCGGCTCCCGGCCCCCCGGCGACCCGCCCCCGCCCCGCGCGCCCGCCCGGGCCGCGCTGCAGAGTCTCCGCGCCGCCCCGGCGCGTCCTGTCCCGGCCCTGCGCGGGGGGCGCGGGGTGCGGTCCCGGCCTGCCGGGCCTCCTGGTCACGTGGCGAGGCGGCCAGACGGCGATGCCTAAGAGCCGGCAGGTTGTCCCAGGGAGGACGGACAGGCTGCGGGGGGCAACGCGGCGGGCGGTTACGAGCCGGGCCCTGGACCAGAAGGTCTGTGCTCACCTCCTGGCCCTGTTTGCCATGGTGCTTCCGAGCCTCCGCCAGCCACCTCCTTCATAAAATGGGAGCTGCTTCAGAGTTGTCCTGTGAGAATTAAATGCCAATTGTATGTAAAACTCTTACATGGCCCCAACATACCGTAAGCTTCCAGTCAACACTGTTGCTGCTGCATTGTGAAGAGCCGCAGCATACCTGATTGCCAGGGACCCCTCCAGTGCCAGGGGCCCCCCACAAGCGCGTCAGCTATTCTGCTATCCCAGTGCAGTGTTAGAGCCAGCTGGAGACAAGGTGTGGATATGGAGTTGGAGTTAGGTAGGTGAGCCCCCTGCCCCTCCTGAGTTTGCACCTTCAGGTCGGTTTTTTTTTTTTTATACTGTTACTACAGCTCTTTTTTTTTGAGAGAGAGTTTCACTGTGTTGTCCGGGCTAGAGTGCCATGGCATCAGCCTAGCTCACAGCAACCTCAAACTCCTGGGCTCAAGCAATCCTTCTGCCTCAGCCTCCCGAGTATCTGTGACTACAGGCATGCGCCACCATGCCCGAATAATTTTTTTTTTTTTTTTTTTTGAGACAGAGTCTCACTTTTGTTGCCCAGGCTAGAGTGAGTGCCGTGGCGTCAGCCTAGCTCACAGCAACCTCAAACTCCTGGGCTCAAGCGATCTCCCTGCCTAGCCTCCAAGTAGCTGGGACTACAGGCATGTGCCACCATGCCCGGCTAATTTTTTGTATATATATTTTTAGTTGGTCAATTAATTTCTATTTTTAGTAGAGACGGGGTCTCGCTCAGGATGGTTTCGAACTCCTGACCTCAAGCAATCCGCCCGCCTCGGCCTCCCAGAGTGCTAGGATTACAGGCGTGAGCCACCGTGCCCGGCCCCGAATAATTTTTTAATATATATATTTTAGTTGGCCAATTAATTTCTTTCTACTTTTAGTAGAGACGGGGTCTCGCTCTTGTTCAGGCTGTTCTCGAACTCCTGAGCTCAAACGATCCACCCGCCTCGGCCTCCCAGAGTGCTAGGATTACAGGCATGAGCCAATTTTTCTTTGAATCAGACTCTGTTGAAAAATTCGGGAACCTCTACGATGCAGTCACATCTGAAATTACCTTGTAGGAACCCTGTCAATAGAACCCTAACACAAAGCCAAACTGCAATAGATGAACCGGCCTGCTGACCGCTCACTCAAAGGCCTTCAGAAAGGAGGAGCTTGTAGGTTCGTAAAGGGTTTTAGGGACTGTCTGACTTAGTTGTGTGTTTGGGGAGGAAGGGAACTTCGTGAAAATTGTGAAAAGCAAAATAATGGGTCCTAGACTTAAGGGGGTGCTTGGAGCTTGCTCAAAGCTAAGACATAGTAGGTACACAATTAACTGAGTACAGCGCACTAATCAAATTCCCTTATATGAACTGGATTTGAAAAATTACTTCTGAAAGAAAACAGACTATTTTTGAAACAATAAAAATTACTAAAAAAAAAATAAAAGAAACCCTCCAAAACCCACAGGAACTGAATGGGGAAATGTTTGGGGGTAAAATTCAATATTTCTAATAATTAAATTACAAGTTTTCCTGCTGCTACTGTGTCATATGAATGGCGGTGTAACCCTGTAGAGCGTTGAGGGGTGAATCTCATGGCCACAGTGACCCTCTTCTTCCAGATGTGGTCCTACTGCCCTTTCCTTTCTTTTTTACTTTTCTTTCTCAATTTTGTTTATGTTCAATTAATTCCAAAGTGATGACTTAGACATTCTACTCATTGCCTTTTCTGTATTTCTCTACTTCTATTCTCCTGAGCAGTCTGACCGGATGAGAAATGGGACTCCTCTAGAATTGTCCAACAAATGTTCATCAGAGTGAATAGAAGACATTAATCTGTAAGTGAATCCTTAATATTAATTATGTCAAATTATGGAAATGGCAAATAAGAGATAGTGTACAGCCAATAATTCAATATAACAAATAACTCAAAAATAAATTGAGAAAAAAATTATCTTCCTAAAAATTATAATCCCGGATTTCAAAATGTTTCCTCCACAAAAGAAAGTCATTCCCAAAGTACCAGAGTGAGTTGACACAGTGGCTAAAATCTGGCCTTAACGATTCTTCCCTTATAATTCTTGTCCACTGATCACATTTACATTTCTGGTAGGATTATTAGGATTTTTGAAAGAGTTATCACAAATAATTGACTCATTTTTCAGGCAGTGGAGCTAGGAGCCCAAAAAGAAGGTGGAATCAATATGGTCTTAACAGGACAGTTTAGATTATAGATTCATTTGTAAAATGATAAGCATTTATGAAAAGGTGTCTCTCAAACCTAAGCTAAATAAATGAAACCCATCTAGATTTATTGTACATAGCATAGAATTTAAGAGGAGAGAATTCATTTGTTCATCCATTTACCAATTGTTATTGAACAGTCCCCTTCCCCATGGGTTGGGTCTGTATGGGGTTCTTATTTTGATGAAGTTCGTGCTCATTTTGTCATTTTAACACATAAGATTTTTTGAGGGGAGCTATAAAAATGCTTTTGCTTATTCTATCAGTAAATGCTTAGGCAATGTTAGCTCTTGTTGTTCTCAAGGGGCTTAAACTGGAGTGATTCCCACAGCATATGAGATCCTGCCCTTACTATCTAAAGGGAGATTTACCAGGAAAGGGCAGGAGCTAAATGGCTGAACAAATTCTAGTATCTCCTAGACCACAGGATTACTCTCCAATAAGCTCCTTCCCCTCTTAAGAAAGTTTTATAATAAATTCATACTGTATATTTACCTTCTGGATATTATTATATATCATAGCTTCTGACAAGAGGGCTGATTTTTAGATGATATATTAATATATTTGAGGAATAACAACTTGATCATAGATTAGTATTTGTGAGTAGGATAGTTATTAACCATTTGGTTCCTCACTTCTTTCAGCACAGTGTCTAAGAAACATGGTTAATTTTCTAGTTCATTGAAAATAGTATGTGAATGCTCCTATGAATAAAAATATCTATTTTTTTCTTTCAGTTTTTATTTTAAAATCACAAATGTGTCATTTATTCCTGTGTAGTTTACATCAGTTTAAGTCAGGGTTTGTTTTTCAAACTACCTTTGTGCAAGTTGGCTGTTAATGAAAATACAGTAATAATAATTTCTTAATCTCACCATATGGTTTAATAGTATTTAAAGCATTTGGATTGGACCAGGGTTTCTCAACCTCAACAATTTTGACATTTTGAGCCAGCTCATTCTTCCCTGTGAGAGGCTGCCCTGTGCAATGGAAGGTGTTTAGCAACATCCCTGGCCTCTAACCACTAGATGCCAATAACACTTCCCAGTCATGACAACCAAAATGTTTACAGATGTTGCCAAATGTCCCCTGGGGGCCAAAATTGCCCTTTCCCTACTTTTCCAGGCTGAGATTCTCTGCATAAGAAGACATGGTGTCAATGTAAATGGGAAAAATTAAGCTCTAGCTCTTCATTTACAAACGCATGCTTAAGAAAATCCTCAGGATTGTAATACCAATTTATCAGAAATTTCAGGGCTTTTTGATGTTAAGCTTCAGGATATTTGTCTGCCATGTAAAAATTTCAGAAGAATCCATTATCATTGATTAATTGCAAATTTTCAACACAATGCTGCTATTAATTAAGGGATATGTATACCTCCCTCAAGAGATCAAAAAGGGCTTGGTGTGGTGACTCGTGCCTATAATCCTAACACTCAGGGAGATCAAAGTGGGAGGATAGCTTCGGATCAGGATTTTGAGACCAGCCGCAAGATCAAGACACTGCTCTACTAAAAATAGAAAGAAATTAGCTGGACAACTAAAACAAAAAAAAAATTAGCTCGGCGGGATGGTGTACACCTCAAGTCCCAGCTACTCGGGAGGCTGAGGCAGGAGGATTGCTTGAGTCTAGGAGTTGGAGGTTGCTGTGAGTGAGGCTGACATCACAGCACTCTAGCCTGGGCAACAGAGTGAGACTCTGCCTAAAAAAAAAAAAAAAAAAAAAGAGAGAGAGAGAGATCAAAAAGAAGCAACTGCCAAGCCCTGTCCACCTTGCCTGGCCTTCTAACACTTTCCTCACAAAGGCTAGGACTATTTAAATGATTATATCTGGAAAAATATAGATTTGGGACTTCTTGATTCATAAAATTCTATCTTAGAGCTATAAAATTCAAGGGTTTTTGACATCTTCTGCAATTGAATAGCTTTTGCAAGTTTTGGGTGATCTTAACTGAAAAGTTGGCTGACTTGTTAGTGGAACAACCAGGCAGCTGCTCACCAGGTCCTTTAAGCACACCTTGCTAGGCTTTCTTACTGTCAGAAAGGGCAAAGCTTGAGAGATTCAGAAAGACCTGCTGTTTCCTGGATGATCCACTCTCTCTTGTAACACAGTGGGCTCTGCATAAACTCTCCTCTCCTCTCCTCTTTTATCAATGCATCTTTTCATCCTCTCCCTCCTCAATCCTCCCCCGTGACTATCCCTGCCCCTTCTCCCTGCACTAAAAATACAGAGGACAGCCCCCCACAAAGAAGTTTAAAGGAACAGATTTTTTAAAAGTCTTCTATTAAAGTTATTCAGTAATCAACTTTGTGGAATGGTGCCAGATGATTCCATGGTATTATATTTTATAAAGTTTTCTTCATTATTTTTTATTTACCACTTGCCTTCTTGTCCACATTTTGTGTAAAATAAGCCCTGTACCAGTGAACCAGGGAATTTTCAGTTTAAGATTAAGGCACAGTGGCTTGCTTGTAATTGGTGCCAGCTTGATCTCCTGGCTGTTTCAAATATTACCTTCTCTGGCCAGAAACCTCTCTTCACACACAGGAATTTCCAGAATTAGCTTTTGTTTGGGAATGGTTACCTATTAGAAATAAATGGGGAAGAAGGTACACTCTTGAAAAATCCATATTCATGATTAGAGCTCATAGGATAGGTCATTCCATTCTCATTCAGAACAATGTATGACAATTAATTTTAGATTTATTTTATCCTGTTTTCCATATGTAAAGGATGTTCCTGTTTAATTTTTTGAGTATCCCATTGATTTCTGAATACTGTATATATAAATAAGACATCTCTGTA